TATATATCTGAGCCGAGTAAAATTTGTTATAAAAATGTAAAAAAATATACTCTTTGAGATATATTTCCCTCGCTAATAAACGGGATAAAACGTCAAGTGTAGTCATTGTGTACTTATACCTTACATTGATTACAACAAAGCGACATGCGTTAACAATCGCATTGCGGCTACGTGACCAGACTGTTCATTTTTATATTTTAAATATTTTTGATAAAAACTGTCCAATGGAAAAATGTATATCAATTTTAAACTTCAATTAGAGCCTTACGTTATTTTTTATCCAAAAATAAATTTTGCTACTATCAAATTATTATCAAATATTATTATCGTATTGATGAATTTTTAACATAAAATAACACAAAGTAAATAAAGGTATGGAGTGTTTATTTTAAATTAAGGAACACAGATTTTAATTAACTAATTATATTATTATTAATTACGTATAAAGGTTATTTTAATTTGCCTATTGAGGGGACATTATTATCTTCTAATAACTCCTTATGATCTCAAGTTATATTAACCATCCCTATCCGCCCACTTGTGTTTAATTTGTAGTCCTAAAATAAACTCGACTGCGGCATTAGCTATCGGATATGACAATTATATATTAAAACCATCTAATTTCCTACAGTTATATTGCAAAAAAATATACAAACACGAAGTTCAAAGAATAAATATACTATATTTATCAATATTATATTGAATTTGAGAATAAAATTATTAAATTCTTTTCTGGAATACAAATGATCTCTAATAAAATGACATAAACCTAGCTCTGTCATCGGTTTAATGAAGGCTTGTAAAGTAAGAACGATTATTTTTATTTTTTTTATTTTTTATTATTCTTTATTGCACAAACAGAGGTGTACAAAGGGCGGACTTAACGCTATTACAGCATTTTCTGCCAGCCAACCCAGAAAGTGTAGGATAGAAGTAAGTAGGGTGTGCACAGAAGTTAAAGAAACATTAAAAATATATACATGATATAAAATACATACATATACAAATACATATACATAATATACATAAATATGCACAAACAAATACATATACAAGTACATAAATATTTAACATATATACACAAATATATACATATATATATATGAATCCAATAATGAGAATAGTACAGAAGAAAAGACATCACATAGTGTTGACAGACGACAGATAAAATTCTCTCACTTGACGCTTGAAAGAATCGCGCGAAGGGGCTCTACGAATAGAGTCAGGCAAAGTGTTCCAAAGCCGGGCTGCGACTAAAGAGAAGGAGTTGGAAACAAAGCCAGATTTATGGGGAGGTATGAAAAGGGTAAGGGATTGAGAGGATCGTAGGGGCTTATTATGGGTAGAGGAGAGAAGAGAAAATTTAGAGGATAAATAGGTGGGAGCATTAGGGTCGGTAAGAATAGAGTAGAGAAGACATAGAATCCTAGTATACCTACGTTCCCGTATAGGAAGCCAGTGTAACTGCTTCCTAAAACGAGAGACGTGGTCGAACTTGCGTAAACTAAAGATGAAGCGAATGCCGTTGTTTAGAAGACGATTAAGTTTTTGGAGGTGTTCTTCCGACAGGTCTAAGTAACAGGAGTCACCGTAGTCAATAATTGGAACCAAGAGGGTAGAAGCAAGCTGGATTTTAGTTTCCATAGGCAAAAAATTTTTTAAACGCATCATGGAATGCATAGTGGCATAAAACCTACGAGAAACTTCTTTAGTATGTTCCCCCCAACTGAGTTTACTGTCAATGATAATGCCGAGGTCTTTAACACTACTGCTGAACTCTATTGGTATATTATTATATCGTAGGCTGGGCAGAGTCGGAACATCTAGCTTCGCTAACTGTCTCCCGCTGCCTATAATGATGGCTTGACACTTGGAGGGATTGACAGTGATACCATATTTAGCGGACCAAAGAGAAATGCGGTGGAGATTATCATTCAGGGAGCTTATAGCCGCGGCAAGATCATTGACAGTAGAGTGTTCGTAGAGCTGCAAGTCATCGGCATACAGATGGTAGTGCGAAGTTAAAATTTTAGTGATGGCGTTTATAAAAACAGAAAATAACAGAGGAGATAATATGCCGCCTTGAGGAACGCCGGCACTCACGTCGCACCAATCAGATTGCAGCTGACCGATGCGTGTGGATTGCCGACGCCCTCGGAGATAAGAAGAAAACCATTCAACGGTAGAGTCTGACAAGTTAGCATGGGAAAGAAATGCAAGAAGGAAATCATGGTCTACTGCATTGAAGGCATTGCTAAAGTCGATTAGCACGAGCACTGTGAGTTGCTGGTTTTCCATGGCAATACGAATATCGTCCGTGACCTTTAACAATGCTGTTGTTGTGCTGTGACCTGGGCGAAAGCCCGATTGGAGTGGATCGAATAAGTCGCATTTATGAAGGTAGCAAGAGATTTGTTGGTGTGCAATGGACTCCAGGATTTTGGATAAAAAGGGGAGGATTGTTATAGGACGAAAATGAGAGGGTAGCGAAGGATTTGATATTTTAGGGAGTGGGAGAACAAAAGCCTTGCGCCACATCTCAGGAAATGTACTCGTGGTAAAGGAGAAGTTTACGATATGAGTTATGGGGGGAATTAGAAAGTTGAGGATAAGGGTAATCATAACTCGACTTATTCCATCGCAACCAACCGCCTTAGATTTGATAGAAAGAATGGTTTTCTTAACATCATTCTCCGTAATAGGAGAAAATTGAAAAGATGGAGAAGTGATTCTAGGCAAGCCATGTATTTCAGAAAGCGTTGAAAGTTTAGTTTGCAAGTCGAGGACTGGAGGTGAAGAGAAGTGAAGATTGAGATTGTTTAAATCCAATTGAGATTGATCAGAGTAAGGTTGAGGCTTGCCGATACCGAGGGTATTTAAAAATTTTAAAGCTTCCTCGGGAGAAGATCCACGTATTTTGTCAAAGAAATATCGGCGTTTGAGCTTCCTACACAACTGATTGCAGCGATTCCTTGCAGCTTTATATGCTGACCAGTTGAGAGCAGAACGATCCCTCTTATACTTGCGGAAGGCTTTATCCCTCTTGGCTCTCGCTTTTCTTAAATCGTCGTTAAACCAAAGGTTTGAAGAATTTTTTATTTTGACAAGGCGTAGAGGCGAGTGTCGGTCGAATAATTCAATTAGTTTAGAGCACAGAAAATGCAACTTTTCGTCAATTGACGACAACACCTCTATCTGCGTCCAAGGAATAAGAGTAGCATCGTCCAATAACCCATCGAGATCTAGACAACGGTAGCTTCGCAGCAGCAGCATCTTGGGCTTGGGCTTAGGTGATCTGAATTTAAAGGAAGCGAATATTAGATCGTGATGAGAGAATTCCGGCGCTGAAAACTGACCAAATTTAGAGACCGAGTCACCTTTAGACGTTATAATTAAGTCTAAGAGACTATCGGGACCATTGATCGGGTGGTGTGTTGCAGCGAGCGGTAAAACCTGAAGGTTAAAGGAGTCTAGTATAAATCTGAGCTTAGACGACCGATAATTACCCTTGATGAGACAGGTGTTGATATCCCCCATTACAATAAGATTAGTGTACTTAGGCATCAGATTCTCGAAGAGGGTCTCAAGAGAAGAAAAATAATTGATATTGGGGGGACAGTAGACCACTCCAAGGGCTATCTTGGTGCCCACATCTATCTCGATGAATAAGTATTCAGAAGATGCGTTATACTGGGACGTTGATTGACAAATAAGTTTGTAAGGGATGTGACTTTTTAAATATATTGCAACACCCCCACCAGTTTTTCCGATTCGATCATTCCTGATTAAGATGTAATTAGGTATAGAAAAAGAAGTAGAATGAAGAGAAGGTTTTAACCAGGACTCGGAAATAAGAACAGCGTGAATGGATGCCTGGTTAAATGTAGAATAGAGATCGGAAAAATGACTTGGAACACTTTGCGCATTGATGTGACAAATATTTAAATTCTTACGAAAATGTGAGAGTTCATTAGATAGTAAATCTCCTAGTAATTGAGAATTATCATCAGTACTTAGAAAAGAAATGTCGTCATCATCATCTCTTGCAGAATAAAATGATTCAAAACTTGAATTCATAATGCATATACAAAAGAATATAATATAACAAATAAAATATATACTTATACAATAATATAGGTATTTATATCTAACAAATTTTTTAAGTGTAATTATATGAAAACAAAGAAATAAAATAAAAAAAAAGAACTAAAATAAATCAAGTAAACTGACTAGACTAATCATACACATTCTGTTGGCTCACAACAATTCACTTAAAATACGTAACTAAGAAGAAATACTAAAATACATAAGAGAAAAAAAAAATACAATTCATGTTAAGGCCTAGAAACTATGTATCTAAGTGAATTACAAAAAAAGTTTGCTTGTCCCAAAAAAAACACAAAAGTTCAACATGCACATGAAGGTTAACATACAATCGTTTACCATAATGACATGACTTTATAAAAAAAAGTAATTTTATCCATTTAATTGTAGCTAACGAATACAGATGCCAAAATACAATCATCCAAGTCACTAGCAATTGACAGTTGACACGACACTATAATAATTATAATAGACTTCAAAACTCGCCTCAGGTGTCAACTTGTCAAGTGTCAACAGTGTGGGATTGATAAACAAATATACCCGGGATAAACATGCGACTTGGATAAAGAATAATAATATTGTAATTGCTACGAGAACACTAATAATTAAAAGAAAAGAAAATATAGAATCGCAATTACACACAAGAAATGACCATTGTGGGACAATATAAACAACATTGTGATTTTAAAAAACAGTTAAGTGTAAGTGAACTGTAACTTAAGATAAACATTGTGTTGATTTTAAATAAATTTAACACATATGCATATTAAACGCAAATAAAACGAACTATTATAAAAGAATAGAGGGACGTCAATATGTACTAAGAGATGATTACAAATTAAAATAAGTAAAAGTAAAACCAAAACAAGATATAGAATACATAGGATAACAACATACTATTGCTTCTTGACCAAATTTCGTCGCGTAAGTGGCTTTTTGCTGGCGTCAGGAAGACCTGAAGGGCTGACTCGAGGCAACGCAGAGCTGGCAGGCTTGACAATGAAGTGTGATGAGGGCGAGGGACCGGGGAACATCTTTAGGCATTCATCAAAATCTTCCTGAGTTGTGACACGCCTGCGTTCGTTATTTGGCAATTTGATATATATGTTACCATTAAGGGTCCAGGTGTTAGTTATGCCAAATCTTTTTCTTGCTTTTGTGAAGAGAGATTGACGAACCTTAGTCAAGAATTCACTCAGCACAACTGGAGACGATTTCAATTTCTTTTTACTACTCCAAATGAGACTTTTAACCTTTAAGTCGTTAAATCGGACAACAATGGGTCGAGGAGCCCTCTCAGACTTACTTCCTATACGATGGCAGTACTGGATCACACCTGGCTGAAGATCAGGGATGCCCATCAACACTTGAATTGTTCCAAGGACCGTTGAAACCAAGTTCTCACCTTCAGCCTCCTGAATACCACCAAACAGCAGAGCATTTCTTCTAGACGTGTTGTCGATGTCATCAATTTGTGAAGATAAATTAGTGACGAGTGTCCTTAGGAGGTCCAGGATGTTCCACACTGAGGCCTTAAACTCTTTAAACTCACTTGCAAGTTTATCAAGACTGTTCTTATTACCTTCAGTGTTACTTGTGGATTTCAGTTGTTTTTCGAATTCTGCCATCCTATTCCCGAGCGATTCTGCTATGTTTTTATGAACTTCCAGTATATCTTCCACTCTTGCCATTGTATTTAAGTATAAATAATGTTTTATTTGTGATGTGTCAAAAATTCCTTGGGAGAGTTTGTAGAACCAACAGGTAAGTGTAATTATTATGCAATTAAAGACATAAGAACCACAATAACTTTTGTAAAGTAGCCTATATATGTCACTTATGTAAAATATTACTTTTAAAACTGTTAAAATAGATTTTAAACAAAAAAAATAAGGAAAATTTTGGAGAGTGATTTTTAATCGTGTGCACTTTTTGACACCTACCGCCAAAAAAAAAAAATTATTGTTGTCTATAAACGTCTATTTTCAAGAATTATTGTTCGTTTATTCTCCATTTATATATGTATCACAGTTTGAACAGAACAGATGTCGTGTACATTACGCTGACTAGATAGAAATCATTACGTCTTAAAGGATTTCAATATTTAGATTTTGATGTAAGTAAACGTGCTTTGTATCGAATTGATTTTTAGTCTGAATTAGGTATTATTACACAATACTTTGATTAATATTCACTGCTGTGAGTTACGAAAAGTTAATATCAATACATCCTACACTGAATACAAGTATAGTAATATAAATATCAGTATCATATAGTTTACATTCATAAGCGAGTATCATCGATCCGTTTATTTCGGTCCAGCGTCCGGAGACTGCAGACGGAATCAATGTCATCCCTAATTGGGACACACGACGGAGACATTTTTACTACCGGTCGATATCAAACTATATCTGGAATGCAATTGCAATGCTTTAGTGGTCTCCCACAATTCATTCCGCATTCGAATTGCATAATAGTGAAAATATTTACTCATAAACGATATTATTTGTCTTTCAACTTTTAACATAAGGTTAACCATTAACCATATAATAAGATAATTTTGTTATAAGCAATTGGTGTTTTTATGAAGGATTAAAATACCAATAATTGTGTAAAGCACTATAATTCAAAGCAAAAAGAAAGCAAAACGATACAAAGGAATTACGACGTGCTATAAGCGTTCAGATAACAAGGGTATGTAATCGCAAATGAGTATAGCTCTCTGGAGACATATCATGTTAAGCCTGAAAGTTTGCTTGAACGGGAAAAGAAGTGTAGTTTACCTTAACAGTGAGAGCTGTAAAAAGCAACGACGCCAGGCATCTCCAAAGGCTAATAGAGATTAGCATATCTGGGACTTTAGTGCCACGTTATGGCAACACATGTATTGGGGAGTTTTTCTTTTGGATCATACCGGTTGGATAGGAGCCAGCGGTACTACTCATGGACCTCTAGCGTGATCAAATAAACTAGAGATGCAACGGTCCCCATAAAAAGGAAACATCGCGTTTTACACATAACCGTGTTTACATCTAAACAGATGTATTGCCAAATACCATTTCTTTCGGGTAAAAGAAGTATAACAATATCTAGGTACTAACATAATAGATAAATAGTAAATAAATATAACAAATCTGATATTTACGTAAGTACATTATTTTATAATTTATGTAGAACCGATAAGACTCATTTTCTGGAAAATTAATGTCTAGACTCGGTGACCTTGTTGTAATGGAAAGGAGAGACGTTGTTTGATTAAGTAAGATAATGTCTTAGTTGAGATTACAGTCCATCAATGTAAACACAAATTAGAATAAAATTACATTGACACTGCTATGAAGTTATAGAAACTATGGTTCTATAGTTCAAGACTTCATATAAAGTGACGTTATAAAATAAGTACATATTGAAATTCTTTATGATTGTCAAAAGCAAAGAAGTCAGAACTATTTGGCTTGTTGGCTGATGACTTTGAAGGACCAAAATTGTAATATGTAAATTGGGACTAAAAATTAAAATTTTTAATAAAAAAAAAAACAAATAGTAACCCAATATCTACGCATATAACCAACAACTAGCAAACAATAATAAATATACATTATTTTTATAACAAATAAAAAAGCCAACAACAAAAATAGAAAGCTATCAGCGAATTAAATTCACCACATTTCCGTAACATTTTGAATCCAGGACACCATTGGTATTGAAAAACACAAACTGCATTATGCAACAAACTCATTTTATATATTACAAGAAGTGAATTAGATGACCAAATCCAGATAGACTAAGCCGTTGTTTCCGCACAAGTTGGTAATTTTTCAACCAGGCCGGCGGCGGACACCTAATTTATGTTTGCGGCCAGAAGGAAGGAAGGTAAATTACCATACGACGTACGTAAAGAAACTGGCAAGTTTCCTAACCGATACCGAATGAACCATGGCACTGACACGCATCATTTTGATAACACGTATCATTGAATACAAGCTATTACAATGAAAATACTATTTAACAACATTCTCATTCATTCAATAAAATTTATTTTATAATATGAACAACATGCTAAAATTCCATTTTTTTTATGTTACTTGCAAAAATATGAGATAGTTCATTATATTTAATTTCGATTTATGTATATATTTGTTCAAATTGCAGTTGATACTATAACTGCAAAACTAGTGAACAGTTTTAGTTATAAAATCACATACTCATTTTTAAATCACTTTCATTCATTGCTAAATAAAAATTGAATATAAGTATAGCGTCTGAAAGGCCTCAGTAATCAAATAACCCACATTCGACACAGCCTACTGAACTTCATCTAGTCCTTAGCTTCAGTTGAGCTCTGTCCCTGTACTCATGAAGGGCAATACACTGCAGACTACCAATTATCTTCACAATCTCATTAGCAGGACGTGTCAAGACTCTTCGATCACCTCTTTGGATACCCTCGCTCAATCTTGTCATAATTTTCTTTCGTAAGTCATTCATTATGTTCCTTTGAAATGTTCCTATTAATTTATAGCTAGGTTGTTTTGTGAAAAAAAACGGTATTCACAAAAATGGAGAGCAAAATATACTTTATTAATATCGGTGTTCTGTTAATTTTGAACTAGTTAACAAAAGTACGAGTTAATCCAATGCAAGGTAATTTTAATCTCAAGCAAAAGCCGTTGTTTAATGCTACTGCGGTTTTCAGTCTTAGCATTCACAACCCGACACCGCTCATTATTTCTGCTAGAGCATGCTTTATGAGCTATAAATATTACTGCAGTTTAAACGGACACTATTCGGATTTGAAATGTCTTACTATTTCGATTAAAAATACTATTTTATACCTAATAACATTGAATGTGTGACAAATGTTTTAAATAATAGGGTTTTGTATGGACAAAGATACATTAACATAACAAATCGCAAGGGTTATTAAAATAGATATTCTCATATAGAATAGTCAATTGTTCTCATCGACGTTCCAGGACAAAAGAGATACTTAAGCCGAGTAAGCCCGGTAATGTTTGTTCAGAAGGCAATAATGGATGTCACTTTTGAGAAACCAATGCGACTAAGAATTTGAATGGATATTACTATCTTATTGACTCTATAAGCATCAATATGGTCAAACATAATCTTATAGACATTCTTATAGCCTCGAATAAAGTAGCATTTATTTTCTTGTATTATATTCCGTCTTTTCATTTCAAAGATGATAATAATTTGAAAGTATTAAACAAGTCACTATTATAAAATTATATCTAAAATTGCTTTGTCATTTAAAGAATAAGTTTTTATACGAACCAATAATTGCATTTTGAAAATATAAAATATCAAGCAAACATATAAAACTTATATAAAACTGAACAAAATTCTTTCTTAAACCATAAGCCATTGAAGTGATGTTATTATAACAAAGAGCAACTGTATTTAGGGGTTACTAAAACCTTTATATTGGTATTTTAGTAGTTCGGTAGTAAATGAACGACAAACAAGGGGCGAATCCATTCAATAAACGCGAACTCCAAACAATGAAGGTGTCATGCTTATCTTAGGACCCTGGTTCTATGTCTGTAAACGAAGGGACAGAGGAGCCTGGAAACTAATTTATTATGGTTCAATTGAATCTTCATTTGACAACAATTGGGCAGACCTTTGTGAGGAAAGCTAGAGGTATTCCAAGTTGGGATTTGTTTCATTATACAGCATCGGCGTGAACCGGGATCCTGATGAATAAAGGCCATCTCAACTAGGGGACGTGCGTGACATTTTGATATAGTGGAAATTGGCTTCAAGGATTTGGGTTAAGCGTATAACGTCTGAAATGAGATTTGATGCCACTGATTTGGGACAAAAGATACCTTTATATCACTTTAATGTTTATTGTATTTGTATGCATATCATTATCAAGTATGAATATTTAATTAAATAAATAAAAAAAATAGCATAAAGATCAACATTCGAGCGACACTGTCATTTTATTTCCTAAGTATGTATATAATGACGGATTCATTTTACAATCCTTAAACTACACCTCTATGAAAATATACGAACGAACATATTGTGATATACAATTGATTACATTTCTAGTTTTGTAATTAATTATAATTAATTAATAATTATAAGACAATATTTATTACTTTCTGGCGACCTCTTTCAGTCTTAGTAAAACTCTTAACAGTCATCACTTGATAAAAAAAATTTTTAGAAGCAATCATGAAGTAAACAAAACTAGCGGGTCTTCCTAGATAGTAAAACCTTATTTTGGCTAACATTTAAACTCGCATGAGGCTGATAAGATAAAAAATCTTTTATAATAAATTTCAATAATTTTTAAATGGATAACAAACCTCTGTCTATTCTTCAATTAAGTATAGACACTGTAAAAATAATAAAGATGCAAGAATACCACGCATTAAAAAACAGAAATATCAGATATTACTTTTTATATAAAATAAAAATATTTTTGGAAACGTAAAAAGATGAAATAAATCTTTGACACAATAAAATTTTACGATTATAACTAAAGTATTGGCTGGACATATTGGAACGAATTCAAATCACCACTATTATTAACGGATAATTATTCGAAAACCATGAACGAAAAAAGATAAACAAAAATCTAATATAATTCAATATTAACACGGTTACAAACACGACCATGGAAAAGCATATTCTGTAACTAGAAAATAAAAAAGTA